GAAGGGACCCAGGGAGGCTCCCCAATGCTAGTTCTAAACAAGGTGTTTGGGGACAATTCCCTACTGTTACTCAATTTTTGTTTTCTCTCACTCTTAGGAGGTGGATTGCTCAGGACCCTGGCCACCTCTACACAGTCTTGGACTCCTTCCTTAAGGACCTTTCCCTTTTCTTCCACACCATAAACTTCTAGGGGCCTCTGTATCCCTTCCCATCTTACTGGGAAGAGGAGACTGAATCCGAGTTTCCCAGGCCAGACAGCGCATCCTTCCCTAGGTCCTAGGTTCCTGGATTAATTGCCATGTTCGTAGACCTTAAAATTGTCTGCCTCTGCTAGTTCACCAGTCAGGGCAGGTGGCCTGCTTGCTTTCTCTCCCTGTTGGTGGACGGACATGTGATCAAATGTGTGTCACGGCCAAAAATAAAGCTGAGCAATGATTCCATCCTTGAGTTTCTTTTCCACGGCAACATCTACTTTTTAGCTCTTCTCTTTGAGGACAACGGCGTTATCACACTGGGGTCACATTCACAGACTGGCGAGACGAGGAGTACACTGAACAAACAGGTGAATGTAAAGGGCACAGAAGTCATAAGCGCCCCCAAGCAGTGGGCAGGTGGAGGGTAGGAGGCACAGATATTCCACTGATGGTGAGGGATACCCAGCAGCCCCTCCTGCCTCGGGGCCTTTGCACTGGTTCTGCCTGTCAGCAGCTCTCCTCCCCAGCATCTCCCTGGGCACAGAAGGCGTCACCCTGGGCGGGGCTGTTCCGGCCACACTATTTAGAACTGCATCCTGCCACCGCACCTGCGAGGCTTCACCGTGGGAGGGGGGCACGGGGAGGTGACCACGATGGAGGTCACAGCCGCCCAGGAAGGTGGGCCTGCAGGGACTCAAGGAATCCGGGAGTCATGGAAACCCGCCCAGCTGAGGATGCTGCGTGCTATGCCCTCTGCCTGTTCTCCCTTGGTTTCTGTCATTCGTCCCGTGCACAGCTGACCAAAGCCTACGTGCTCCAGGGGTGTACAGCATCGTGTTTCCAGAGCCATGAGTGTTCTGCGAGCAGCACCATCAATCTGCTGAACGTTTCCATCACTGTCCACACTCAGAGCCACTGTGAACCTTCTCCGCGCTGAAGCATTTGGTATGGGCCCAGGGCACAACTTTCCCCTACAGGACCTGGCAGAAGTGGGCAGCAACTCCTGGGCCAGAGGCCTGGGTGCCCCAGTCGGGTGGGGGCGTTGGGGAGCACACAGGAGCAGACTCTGCAGACCCCTTCAGCCGGGACCCCAAGGAATTGCTGCTGGGCTGGCTGTGATCGTCGAACCCCCCCCCAAGCCCCCGAAACCCCAGGGGAGTCGCCCGACCCCTGTCACAGGAGCCTGGTAGGTCCGCCCACCTGCCACAAAGCTGAGACATACAGGGACCCAGGCTGTCTTCCGCCCGTTTAATCAGGACATGTGATGGCGCCGCCAGGAGCTCAGGTGACCAAGGAGGAGGACTGGAGTGCGGGATTGCGAGACAGATGGGTCAGGGTCCTCAGAGGAGCCGGAGAGGACGGCAGGGAGCGGGAGACAGGAAGGTGATAACGCGGGGGGCCCGGGGTGGGGCTCCCCAGGGCAGCTCAACCTGGGATAGGGTCTCTGGCTGACCACAGGCGGACAGTCAACGCTAAGGAGGTTTGGCCGAGGGGGCGGGGCCCAGGCCCAGGACGGAGCCCAGCCCAAGCCTGACTACAGGCATTTGGTGCTCAGAGACAGCAGTGTCCCCGGACACCCTTGGAGGGGACAGACACCGTGTCCTGGCTCGCCACAGCCCGTGGGAGGACGGGCTTCTGCTGCTGCTCGGGTACAGGCCTTGGTCCCGCCCCACACCCACCCCTGCACGGCCCGCAGGCAGGCACCAAGGAAGGGCCCAGAAGGGGCTGCGCATCGTGCCACTGTCAGTGACCCTGTAGCCTCCTCCACAACACCCTGCGGGGGGCTTCGTCCCGGGGACACGGACAGGGAAGCTACTGGCCGTGCGGGGAGGACAGCTCAGGAGCAGAAGCCCGGTGCTCACCTCTCCCCAGCCCTCCAGGCTGAGCGTCAGCTCCAGCTTGGGTCGGCTTGTTGTCCCCCAGGAGGCTTCTCCGTCCAGGGCGGCGAGACGCTAGACTCAGGGGCCCTTAGCTGGTCTCAGACAGGGACCCAGCTCCCCTGTGCACCTGAAGACACTGCCAGCAGAGGCCCACAACGGGGAGGTGGCCCGGCAGGCAGGCCTCCCCGGTAGTTTTGGGAGATCCGGGCTGCACCCCTGCCCATTGGGAGGTGGAGGGAATGCCAGCGGGCCGGGCCGGGTTCCCAAGCCCTCTCTAACCCTTGGGCACACTCAGCCCCGGCTCCACAGGCTGGCACCGTGCGATGGCAGAGGCCAATGTGGCGGAAGGAGCAAGTGTCCCGGGCAAACCCCGAGGACGGGAACGGGCTGGGATCCCCTTCCGCTCTGTGTCCCCCGGCCTGGACCTCGAGGGTGTGTGTGCGTGCATGTGCACGTGCACGTGCCCGCTCGAGTGTAGGGGTCAGGACAGCCAGACGAGCTGTGCCAGGAGCCACCTCCTGCGCCACCAGAAGTCGGCGATGGGAGATGGCCCGGCACAGTGCCCGGGACGGGGGGGGTGCTGGTTCTGACCCGATGTTTTCCACTGTCGCATGCGCACTGTTCTGTGTATGTGGGGCCAGTCCGCCCCTTTTCCGGGATCCCTGAGGGCCCGCCGTTGCCTGGCAACTGAAGAGCCGTTAAACCGCACGACCAGGTTGGAGCGAAAACGGCCCATTTGCGCAGGCGCAGAGGACCTCTCGAGGTGCACTGTGGGTCAAAAAGGGGCGGGCCTTCCTACGCGCCTGCTTCGCCTCAAGAAGTGTATAGTC